GTCGCCATGTTTGCTCTTTACCAGTGTCTTCCGCGTTACGGGAAAACGGATAACGTCACGAAAACTTTTCACGGTTTACGCGGGAACCAGGAACTCACGCGGGATCACGTTATTTATTGCTGCACTGAGAAGTTGTGTGCGTCATAACAGGCTGGCTCCAAAATTACTTTAACACCGTACAGCATACAGACACCAAATATATTCGAAAACAGAAATGTCATACGTTACAATCTAAGAATATTTACAAGATTATTTCACCCTAAAATCGGCAAAAAAATATGAATATTCAGCCTCGACCGGAAAAACAATATTCTTATATAAAAAAATAGTGTACATCCCTGGACGGGAGACAGAGGCAGTATTCACCGAACAGGCGGCAAAGCCTCGCTAAATGTTACAGTCGAACCCGCTCTCCACAGCCAAAGTAGGGTTGTAATATGACACCAATTTTATTAGGGAGGGGAGGGTAAAAAGTTTTCAGTTTTGAAAATATATATATATATATGAAACAGAAACAAAATGTTCAGGACAAAAGTGTCAACATCGCATGCAAAGCGGTAAGCACAGTGAGTTCACTGATCAGTTTGTAATTAATAAATTACACTGCATATTTTCCCTTTCGTCAACAACCCGACGATGCACGGTACGGAACAGGTTTCAAGAACTTTTATTACTGTACGCCACTAGTACTATACGCCCGCTCAAAAAATGGGGTTTTGTATACTCTGTTCGTCAGTCGTTGTGAAGAAGTTATTTTGGCCGGTTTGAACACGCTTAATTTGTGTCTTTGGTGGCCGTTGACGTTGTGGAGTGGTGGCTGTTGTAGAGAGGTCAAAACAAGAGTGAATGTATGGTACAAAAAAAGTTGCTTATGTGGAGAGGTGTCCGTTAGTGCAGGTTCGAATTTACATAGTTACGACGGCTCGCACCTAATATTAAGCGGCATCTGAGGTGATACACGGGCTAACTCTACTATAGAACTAAATTCTCTAAATTCAGCGTTCTATCCCTCACTAAACTGCTTGACTATAACCCTACCCTAGTGTGCATATTTACTTGACTATACCATATTTGCTCGAATAAGCGCCTTTTGAAATCAGTTTTCGCGCCTCAAACCCGGCGCTCATGATTCGAGGGCGGCGCTTATTTGAGGGCGACGTTTATTTAAAATATGAACGCGACGAAGAAGTTTTTTCTTTTAAAATATTCAAAGGGTCATTTTCAGTCTTTGAGAAAATTTAGCAGTAACGGAACAGAAGCGTCTTTTTTATTGTCACCATTCATCCCTTCGCGCACTTTTCAATTGGTGTCTTAAGCTTCAGGCAACTTCGATTTCACGAGCATCGCTTTTGGTGAACATAAATTTCCAATGCTATGCCAGACTTGAGATTTGTATACGTAATTGATTTTTAGCTACACCGAATTTCTCGAATAAGCGCCGCATCCTGGCCGCGGCGCTTATTCGGGGCGGGCGCTAATTAACGTTTTTATCCCAAATGCGGCGCTTATCCGAGGGCGGCGCTTATTTGAGTAAATACACATTCTCAGCCAGTCACGAAAATGATCCGTAAACGCACTACAAAGGATACTTGGGTATAGTTAGAACAATAACAGTGAATGGATGATGCAATGACACAAGGTGACCCCATAATCAACAATTCCGCACGATATGTTTTAACTTGATTTGACGCACGTTCCACATTATTATTTGCGCTGTGACCGCAATGGTAAACATTCGAAAACAAGCCCAGTTGCAGCAATTATTGTGATATGTTGGGAAATAATGGTCGAGAAATGGCAAAATAATCAACAAAGCTCTTGATCTTTGCACCTTCGAAGATAAACAGTCAGCAAATTATATAAAAAAAAATTACAAATTATATAACTCGGATAATTTCAACGCAAGGTGAAAATGGATGTCCAAGGCACAATGGACTCAAACGATTGTAAAGACAGGAATGACAATGTACTCGAGGAGAAGGTCGCAGATCCAGCAGATTTAGAGGAAGGGAAAGAAATCTTGCGCAAAATTGAAATGACGGTGACAGACTCAACTGATTCCGAAGACGGGAGAGCTCTCAAGGAACAAGTCACCGTTTTGGAGATGAAAACATTCAAGAGATATTCCCATTCGTTGTCTCAGTATGACCGCTTGGAGGAGGCCACTGAAGAAGACCCCTTGAAAATCGTTTGTGTTGGAGACTGCACAGCAGGCGTGCTATCTAAGGGCATCTTCATCAAGGACTATCTTGGAATCAAGCCAGGATTTAGAGTCCACCCTTTTAATAGCATTGATTTCTACCTAAAAAGAGCAAATTGGCGACGTTATGGCAGCCTGAAAAATTACTATTCGGTAGTCCTTCAGCTCTGCGAAATATCAGACCTGGAGCGATTTTCAGCAATGACCAAGGTGTTCTTCCAGCACAGTCATGGGGCGGTGGTGTTCTGGGGACCGCGTCACCCTGCGTCACTCGCTGAAGCTGTGAAGTGGAGGACGAAGATAGCCCAAGAGGTTTGTTCTCCGATTCCTTGCGTTTTGGTGACGGAGAATGTTGTGGATTCCTGTGCGAATTCAGTGAAGTGGATCGGACACGGCGGAATATTTGAGAGCGAGTTAGCTCTGGATCAATTCTGTAAAGATAACGGGTTTGTGGGTCATTTTGAGATCACGTCACGCGACTGGGAATCCGGTGAGAGAAGTGTTTTCGGACAAGCAGTGAACTGCCTTCTAGACGAGATTTTGCAGGGCGATGAAAAAGAAGACAAAACCATGTTGTAACGAAATTTCACCGTAGGGAGGATCATTTGTATCAAGAATAATACAATTAACAATAAAACATAAAGCAACCCGCTATCTAACTTGTCTCTAAAGGAGCTCAGTCACGCTATCTTGAGTTATTTTGGCCATGTACAAAATTACCTTTAAAGTGAAGGAAACCTGAAAATCGCAGTTTACTAAGATAGAAAAACACCAAAGAGATAATAATAAACCATAAAGGAACAAGCATGGTTAAGGATGGAGAAGATTGACACGGATTACAAACGACAAACTTGAAAAATTTAGGCTAAACTTTTCAAGATGCTCAAACGGTGACGTAGCTCCTTTAAAACCCATCTAGGATGTGACAAAATAGCCTGTGTACAGCCGCCCATGACAAAACTAGGCCGAGTTGTTGCGAGTCTTAACGTGGGTTGCGAAAGATAGTTGCGATTTTTTATTTCAGTGCGTTTAATACGTAAGAAGACTATACACCATCTCAGGACTATCTTTGCATGTAGCTGGGATATCTCCACTAAACTCAGGTCAATATATTATTCTAGGATTACATTATGGAAATGAATCTCAGTGATTTCAATATTGTCATTTACATCAAACACAGACATTGTTTTCAGATCGATTGAGCTGCATTGGTATGGTAAATAGTGTGAAGTAGCTCTATAACTATTGTAAGTAGTGTGGAGTAGATGTTTCAGTTAGTATCGAAAACAATGTAAAGTAGCTTAATAAGTATTGCAAGTATAGTAAGTAGCTGTGTTGTATTCTAAGTTGTGCAAGTAGATGTATTGTACTGTTAGTTGCGTAAGTATCAGTATTGTAAGTAATGTGACTTGCTGTATTGTATTAAAAGAAATTTTTATTATAAAAAAAAATCGTGTCACCTCACCGCGTTACCTCACGTTAATTGATCACCTATGTCTTCATATCTTTCTCCGCATTTCAAATGTATGATCTTTCATATATTCATTTGTATTCTTCACCATCTAGGGGTATATTACGAACTTACAATGTGACAGCCCCCAGTTGGCTTGATAGCTCAGTTGGTAGAGCACCGCATCGGTATCGCAGAGGTCATGGGTTCGAATCCCGTTCAGGCCTGAATTTTGTTCAGGATTTAATTTCACAACCGCTCTAAACCAATAGATTTAATAAATCGTAAGCATAACTAATAAGTATAGGTAATCATACGGTTTCGAGTTCAATTTGGAATTAATTTGCACGAGTGAGTTTTTCAAAAAGCTCATTCGAGAAAATGTTTTTCAAAGTTTCCGCACAAAATTTTCGTCATCAATCTACGTGATATCATCGAGTAATTTTTTGATGTATAATATAAATCGTAAAATTAGCTTCTTGGGCGATCTGTTCCGCTCCTGCGTAGTCCTTGGCAGGAGTGAAAACTTTAAACAATGGGTACTTTAACCCTTTGACTGCCAAATTTTCACAAAAAAACGCCGTTTTTAACTGTTAAGTTTTTTGGCTGCCATGACGCTAAATGGACCTTAGTTTTGCTGAGAAAGATATTTTTTACCAAAACGAGAGATTTCTCCAAGATTAGGTACCAAAATGTACAATATTTTAATTTGGCGCGCGCGCATAAGCCAAAATTTAGGTATAATGGGCCATTTTACCACCAACGTTGTTTTTCAATTTCCTGTCAGAATGTTGTCGATATCTAAAACAGTCTGTTGTGCCGATAGATTTATCTTAGCTCTACTATCTGCTTACCAAGAATATCTAGTGACATGTAAATTGATGACGTCACATGTGGTACAAAGAGCACGCCCACCCAGGGCGTCTATATGCACCGCTGGCAGTCAAAGGGTCAAAAGCATGTCCAGATGAGCGGGTAGAAGAATAATTAACTGAATGCAGTTCGCTATGTTATCTACATATGCTAGGTTATTTCTGATCTTGTAGAGCATAGACAAAAAAAGCGTACCATAACTGGATGGTGGTTCCTGCCGGACATACGTAGGTTTAATGCTGCCTCGGCAGTCTATGCAAGTTTCATTGGACCAGGCTGAAAGAAATAATTCTGGAAATGTTTATTTAACAGTTCTGCTATGGCTGACGAGTCAGTCAGCTCCAGACCTCCTGAGTTCAAGGAGGCAATACCAGTGATTTTTTTTTTCTGTACGTGCGTGTTTCATGAAGGACCAGAAGCGTTTACCGCCATCTGGTTCCTCAAATATATTAGACATATTATTCACGTAGTCTCAATAAGCCTGTCCGATTCTTTTTTGAACTTCTCTTTTCAGCAATTTATTGTGTTTAGTGTCTCTAGAGTTGGGTGTTTTTAATTTTAAAGCACTTATCTCTCTTTCTGATCAAACGCTTGAGATCAGCATTTATCCGGAGCAAATAATTTTTATCCCTTGCGGACTTGACTGGAACAAAGTTGCCCAATCCTTCTTTCAGGTAGTGAAGGAGGTTTGGAGGAGGTTTGGATACCTGGTCTTAATTAGCATAGATTTTGACGATTTTACTTCTCCGTTTACTCCTTAGTTTTTGTCTCGATTGAGAAGATATATCAAACACTCGAGGCAGTGTTTCATCGGCTATCCAAACACCTCGAATTTGGTCAAAAATGGTCCGCTCCGCGCCGCATTTTCAACTCTCTTCTCGGTGTTTGGATATCCCGATGTAACACTGTCTCTCGTGTTTGATATATTACATCTAGGATGTAAGCTCTAAAGTTGCCCCAGTCTGCTTTGTTAAACAATGATATCCTTCTGGGCTTTTGCATTTTGCTTGTTGGTAATAGACGATAAATTCTCTTCAACAACTGACCACTGCTTCGAGATCTGCTAGGCCTGGAATTACTTGGGTAGATTGAATAAGTGATGAATTGTTGGTAGCAAGCAAGTCTAAAATGTTATTATGTCTTGTAGGTTTATCTACAATCTGCGTAAGACCATTGTCACACTGGATAGCTAAGAACTGTTCATGGAGGTTGGGACATTGGCAGTTAGGTTTGGTGTTATTTTCTAGCCAGTCAAAACCTGGAAGGTTTAAATCTCCAGCCAACCAAATAATAAAATAATAATAATAATAAAATAATAATAATAATAATAATAATAAGATTTATATAGCGCCAGTATCCTAATGTTCAAAGGCGCTTTACAATATCAGAGGAAAATCTAAGAAAATATCTAAAAATTTAAAACATTAGTCTAAAATGAATTGCAAAAGGGCTTCTTTATTACTTATTTTATTATTATTTTTTTAAAAATACAGCAATTTTTATTACAGATCTTATTTAGAGAATAGTTTTCTTCCTTCAAATGTGCAAAATGCAATGCCAACTCTTGCTAAACCTATACATACAAACTTATATACATACAACCTTTATTTAAGCACGACAAAGCTTTCAGCAGGTTGTGGGGTCGTGTACTTACCAATTTTAAACAACAAAACAATTACAATTAAAAACAGGTGTGCAACCAGGGTTAAACATATTGAAAACAATAACTATTAAAACATTCTCTGGCTGAAAAATTTTAAGTTAAAATAAACAGATTTCCCTACCCTTTCATATAGCTAAACTTGTGAAATCCCTACGCTTTTAAATACCTGAAGCCTAAAAAAGGACTACCCCTTTTGGGTGAAGCTTTCCCGTATAGGCAATTATAGGGAGTACCCCCCCTCCCACCCCCATTCGTCAAAGGCTGTGGGTTGGCAGCCAAGAGCTTATTTTACCTTAAATTTTTCAGCCAGAGAACGTTTTAATTGTTTTTAAACGATTACAGTTCAATATAATTAATAAAAATAAAAAGGAAAGATCTACATTAAATTTTAAGTCTTACAACATTTGCCGAGGTTAAAAATATATGAAATTCCTTAATCTGTACTATTGGTTGTTTGCCGAGCTAACACGTTAAAATTAAAGTCCTTCAAACTGTGACACTTTCCTATGTTTTTCACAAAAGACTTGATGTGTATACAGTCAAAGACTGATCCATCTGAACATCCAAACACATTCCAGAGCCGGAGGGAGGGGGGGGGGAGGAGGAGGGTACTGAACAAAGTTCTTTACAGGGAGGCTTTGCCCAGAGGTCCAACCCTTTACCCTTTTGTATACCATTTTGACAGAAAAGGTGCCCTTTCGTATACTTTTAATCGAAAAATGGAAGGCCTTTCACATACTTTCTTAACTGGCACATATTATGAATAAATCACCAAAAAAGGATTAGGGAAGTCTTCTTGTCATTTTCATGTACTCACAGTGACATTAAGGTGCATCTGTTAGAAATGTTTCAATTAAAGACCATTTAAAATAACTTAAAATGACAGATTTCCCTACCCTTTCACATACCTCAACTTGTGAAATCCCTACCATTTTATGTACCTGAAGCCTAAAAAAGGTACCCTTTTGGGTGGAGCCTCCTGGTATAGGCAATTATAGGGAGTAACCCCTCGGGTTCCAGAGGACAGTCCCTCTATAGGCAATAGAATTTTGCATGTATTTTGAAACAAACTCAGTGCTACAAGTCCATGCTTCATTCTCAAAGCACATCTACTGTTGCAGTTCATCAATGGTTTAACTAGAGCATTCTTTATAAAGACAGACAAGTGATTTTTCCACATGTTTGTCTACAATAAGGTTGTGATCAAGAAAAGACACAAGGCAAAAAAGGAATCTGATTTGAGAATTTACAGGTGTTGAATATTCAATAGGAACAGTCCACCATCATTTAAATGATAAAACTGTTTGTTTTTATCTCTTATGCTGATCGCAACCGAAATGAAATGTTTTATGACAGCTTTTTATGAAATGGAACATCGAACACTCAGTCAGTGATTACTCTATCCATAGATTTGATTATTTTGTCCATAAATGAAACCAGATACAAAGTGAATCTAATATTCAATATGAAATACTTCCAGCTCATCTATTTTAAAAGGCAACCCACTGGTTAAAATACTCTTTTTAGGATGTTTAGGAGACTGAAAGCCATAACCTAAACTAAGCTTGCATGCTAAGGTATCAGACCCAAACCTTTCTGTGTCCTGTAGCACCTCAAGATCACAGCCTTTTGGGGAACCAAAGCTTGGCCCTCTATCAGAGCGACAAATGATTCCACCATAAGCACCCAGTTTAGGAGTTATCTTCATCATCCGTTCATTTCCAGAAATTTTAAACAGTATGAAAAGAAAAGATTGACTATCTGGTATAGGGTAGGGTCTGGTTGAGTCTAGAATGTAAACAGGAACACAAAAGAATGAAAAGATTTGATTTCTTAACAGTCTAGAACAGAACTAAGAGCTAAGTCTATAACTAAGGTCTTAGTTTTTCAGAGGGGTTTTTAGGTGTTAGTGTTTGAGATTTAGGGAGGCTCTTAGGTCTTAGTTTCTGAGATTTGGAGAGGATCTTAGGTCTTAGTTTCTGAGATTCACATGGTCTCAGGTCTTAGTTTTTGAGATTCAGAGGGGGTCTTAGGTCTTAGTTTTGAGATTCAGAGGGGGTCTTAGGTCTTGGCTTTTGCAATTCAGAGGGGGTCTTAGGTCTTAGTTCTTGAGGGATTCAGAGAGGGTCTTAGGTCTTAAATTTTGAGATTCAGAGGGGGTCTTAGGTCATAGTTTTTGAGATTCAAAGGGGGTCTTAGGTCTTAGCTTCTGAGATTCGGAGGGGGTCTTATGTCTTAGTTTCTGAGATTCAGATGGTCTCACGCCTTAGTTATTGAGATTCAGAGGGGGTCTTAGGCCATAGTTTTTGAGATTCGGAGGGGGTCTTATGTCTTAGTTTCCGAGATTCACGTGGTCTCAGGTCTTAGTTTTTGAGATTCAGAGGGGGTCTTAGGTCTTAGTTTTTGAGATTCAGAGGGGGTCTTAGGTCTTAGTTTCTGAGATTCAGATGGACTCATGTCTTAGTTTTTGAGATTCGGAGGGAGTCATAGGTCACAGTTTTTGAGATTCAGAGGGGGTCTTAGGTCTTAGTTTTTGAGATTCAGAGGGGGTCTTAGGTCTTAGTTTTTGAGATTCGGAGGGGGTCTTAGGTCTTAGTTTCTGAGATTCAGATGGACTCATGTCTTTGTTTTTGAGATTCGGAGGGAGTCATAGGTCACAGTTTTTGAGATTCAGAGGGGGTCTTAGGTCTTAGTTTTTGAGATTCAGAGGGGGTCTTAGGTCTTAGTTTTTGAGATTCAGAGGGGGTCTTAGGTCTTAGTTTCTGAGATTCAGATGGACTCATGTCTTAGTTTTTGAGATTCGGAGGGAGTCATAGGTCACAGTTTTTGAGATTCAGAGGGGGTCTTAGGTCTTAGTTTTTGAGATTTGGAGGGGTCTTAGGTCTAAGGTTTTGAGATTTGGGAGGGGTCTTAGGTCTTAGGTTTTTGAGACACCCTCTTTATGTTGTCACAGTCATTGTATTTTAACATACAGGTTATCCCAGAGCACGAGTATTTTCTGAACTGCTGAAATACTCTTTAAAACTAACTGCATTCAGTTATCACTGTCTTGCAACTCAGTACTGATGTAAACATGGTAAAAGGACTAAGCTAAACGTTAAATTCAAACACACATATCATATACCTCCTTGCCATGATTTTGAGGTATAACCACCAAGGATGAATTCTCCATGTTTTATCAGCACAACAGTAGGACCTTTGTTATCACAGCAACGATGAAAGTCTGCTGGTCTTTTACCATCATCAGAAGCTCGGAACAACAGTGAACAGCTTGCACCATGTGGTAACCAGGACAGTTTGTCCTTTAATATCACAGAAGATGGAAAAATTTCCTCCTCCAGTTGATCTACTATTCCTTGGATCTGATAAAACTTTGCCTCTGTAAGAAGCTGCCTTCGAGTTATTTTGTCATCTGGATAAAGGAGTTCATTATTGCGGAGGTAGTTCAAGATGTACCTTCAAAGGAAAAAGGGAGAAAATGACGAAAAAATATGTACACGCACCTGACAACGTGCAACCCAAGCTTTCTAATTTTGGCGCAGAGTAAATGGATATACAGTCAAACCTCCAAGTACGACCACCTCTCCTCAGCGACCATTTTTCCAAAATACCAAAAGTTTCCCAATCAAATCACTATATTTGGAACCTTCCGTAAGCGACCACCTCTCATAAGTGACTGTGACCACTTTTAGAGCTTAAAAGTTTAAAATTTTCTTTTGTTTTTAACCTCCTGTAAGTGACCGCTTGACAGATAATAGAGCGTAAATAAGATGATAAGGTGTTGTAACATTATTGCATTACTGGATAGAACAGTGAAACCTGTATTACATGGACCCCATATTAATCGGACACCCCCTATTAAGTGGACACCAGTTTGAGTCCCTAAATTTTCTTCCCACATTTAAAAATAAAAATAACCCTGCATTCAGCGGACACCTCTGTTAAGCGGATGCGGACACCAATATTGTGACAAAAACCTGCAATAAGCAGACACTTTACTTCTAAAAGCTCAGCTCAGACTCCTTTCAGATCCTTCAACATTGTTCAGAAAAATACGTAGATTAATTCAGATTGACACTTTGGCTGACTGGACATTGTGCTATGAGCAGTCTTTGATCTTACACTGAGTTACAAAAGGTTTAATAAAGAGTGGATGCCCTATATTAAGCGGACACTAGTGAGTGTCCCAAGGGTGTCCGCTTAATACAGGTTTCACTGTACAAGAGAGGGAAATTTCTCAACGTTTTCCTTGAAATTGACTTTTCCCATGAATAAAACAATTAAAACATGGCGTAAGTCTCTGATGTTACCATATGCTAGTGAGGCAACATTTTGACCTAATATGGTCTAAGCTCTCATAAGTGACCACTTCCCGCACATGACCACCTTGGCTTGACATTTTTGGTGGTTCCTTACGGGAGGTTTCACTGTAGTTATCTCTGGCCATTTTCTTTATTTTCCTTTCTTCAACTAACTTTATATAAGAAACTTGTTTAGGACCCTCAATATGCAATGTCAAGCAACACGACCCTTAAAACCAGCGACATGAGAATTTCTAATCAGTGACAAGTGAATCGAATGCACCCGTCCGCTAAAACTTGACAGCAACACAAGAAGCAAGTTAGAAACGACAGCGACATGGTCCCTTTTGGACTTTTTGCCTATTTAGAAATTACATTCTCTTCTAAGTCTGTAAATTTCAGAAAACGAGTGCTTTTCCATGTGAATAAACTCTAAAAAAATCCACCTTGTAGCAACAGCGACATATGACTTAATGTAGAAAAATGACAGTGACATTTGCTTCCGCTGGTTAGGCGACATCGGTATACAAAAGGATGAAACATGACGACACAACTACCCCCCTTGGAAGGCCTCTTCTATGCCGTTCTCCATGTAGCATGACGACAGCCCTCCCCAACCCATGCCAATGATGAATACTACATGTATGAAGTCAGGCAATCAGTATAGCATGTATATACAGAATGGTTGATAAATTTGCACCAATATCGACTCGAGGCCTTAATAACTCTTGCTGATAAAATGAAAGGTAAAGAAATAATTAAAAGTACCCCAAATTGCAGGTCCTTTGAAGCCTCAAAGCAACGGTGCATTTATACAAGGATTTTTAAAATCTGATAATTATCTCGTGACGTAGGCACTATATAAATTGCCTCTTACTGACCAAGTTCGAGGGCTGTGCTGAAGGTAGGGACCGATTTTTTCCCCCATTGATTTATGGCCCAAGTGCAAAGTGCGTGGGCCATAAATTGAAAGGGGAAAATGAGGATCTGTAACTTCCAAGAGGGTCCACAATAGGGTTCTCAGATCCCGCTTTGCTACCTGTTGTTTCCTGTTAATCCCGCCATCCCACCCTTTTTTGACTGGAAATCCCGATCCCGCCTACTTTCAAAGACGTTTCTGCATTAATTATTAATTTATTAAATTAATAATTAGTTTAATTACTAACACAGAAACTTTTTAAAAATAGATATCATATGAAAGATCACCAAAGAATTCAATGGGTAGCAGATAAGTAAGCACAAATGATTATAACGTTTCTTTCCATAAACGGTTTACTGTTTTGTTTTCTTTTGTCCATGTATAAGGGAAAGAAATGGCCTGTATACACACTCGACGGTTCTTTCAAAGCTTTCAGCATCTTCACTTTCCTTGAAATCTGGGCTCTGAACCTTTCTTTCTGAATGAAGGCATTCCTGCTCGCGCATCCTTTTCGTAATATATGGCGCATCGTATGGTAACTATCACCGCCATCCGGTGTGGCTATCCAGGCCAAAACAAACCAAGTGCTCTGGAAAAGGTCGAAAGACTAGAAAAACTAGAAATGATCGGGGCCAAGATTTCAGACGGAAGCATCGAAAAAGTTGGAAATGGACAGATGTCATTGATGTCAGAGGTCAACACAAATGATTGCAATCAGTAGGAATAGGACTCAAAGACCTCATACAGTCTCATGATGGTAACGTAGTCAAGCAATAATGGATACGTTTGACAGAACCTGACAGGGTACAGATCTGTTGCTATTCATTACTTGAAACCTGACACAGCTATAACGCACATTTAAGGTTCGTTTCTGCCAGCCTGTCATTCTTGCACAGGTCAATAACAATTTATGAGGTCACGTAAGAATTGAAATCTCGTATCCCGCTCTGTTCCCCTTGGAAATCCCACATCCCAACCCTATAAAAACACGAAATCCGGCTCCCGCTAGTAATTGTAATTCCTGCTTCCGCCCCTGTTTTCAGCTCAAATCCCAAATATCACGGCGAAAAAAAGCCAAATCCCGCATCCCGCCAAACCTATTGGGGACCCTCTTCCAACTTACACACTGAGAAGACAAGGTTAGTGACATATTTGTTATATCTCTACTGTGTGTGTCTGCCGGGTTCAGGGACGATTTCTATTCATGCAGAACGGCTTCAAATTTCTGATGCACATCAAAAATTTATTAATACACAATTTTAGACAATTTTGCTACCAAAGTTAAGAACACTTGGCTATAAATCACGAAACATTTCAGCAGCAAAAAACAGCTTTAAATTTTAGCGGGTCGTACAATAGAATACGGCCTGCTAAATTGCCCAATCACAGCGCGTACCAGCTCAGAGATATAATAGGCCCTTTGCAGCTGGGGTCACGTGACCAAATTTTTCCTAAAAAATTTTTGTATTATGGGCTATGACTAAAAGAATGCCAGAAATGGAAAGAGCGCATCGAAAATACCAAAATGGCCAAGTTTGAGGCCCCGGGAAAAAACGAGTAAGTTTATACCATAGTTTGAATTTTCGGAAAATTTAGAGGATTCGTATGGAAAATGTTGCTGGAGAGCAAGGTCTTGCTCTCCAGC